GCAAAACCCCGAGCTGGAAAAAAGCGGCAGCCATGTTCATGCAAATGCCCCGGGGGATATTTAAATCCCCTGCGGCACTTGCAATTCCGACTTGTCTCATTAGCATCCCTTTTCCGGAAAAGGGTGCCAATGTAGATACAGCCTTGGAGTCCAGGAACATCCAAACCAAACTCTAACCATGCTTTAAGTTACGAGAAGAGCAAACTGCATAGCAAATTTGTGGATCCTAGCTCTTATTTAGGAGATCTTGGACAGACAGACAGGCAGACATACAGAGGCACAAACTCTCTAAAATATACAGTAGATATAATACGTGCTTCTTATTTTGGAACGTCAGGGCCACAGACCATAATGGTTATGTTGTAACATATAGGATGTGGTTCTTTTGGGAAAGCTGAGTTATGCTGAAGTAAAATAGGGTATGTCTACACTAGCTCGGTAGTTCGAGCTAGGTAGGCAAATGAGGGCAACCGGAGTTGCAAATGAAGCCCGGGATTTAAATAGTTGCAAATGAAGCCCGGGCCCTGCCATTTTTAAATGCCCCTTAGTTCGAACTCCGTGCCTGCGGCTACACGCGGCATGGAGTAGGTAGTTCAAATTAGGATCTCTAATTTGAACTACCGTTACTCCTCGTGGAAGTTAAATCCCGGGCTTCATTTGCAACTCCGGTTGCCCTCATTTGCCTACCTAGCTCGAACTACCGAGCTAGTGTAGACATACCCTATTTTACTTCAGCATAACTCAGCTTTCCCAAAAGAACCACATCCTATATTCATTTTCAAAGGGGCTTACTCCAAAATTAAGTGCACTCTAAGCAGTCAGTTTTAGCATTTTTGATAACTTAGAACAGATCTGAAGCAAAATTAGTGGGACTGAGGAAGATGAGAGCTAGTTGTAGGAAGTACATTTAGTATTCTGAGGACTTGTCTGTTAGAATTAATAAAACTTGAAAATGTATTAAAAAGTGCTTAAGGACACTTAAACAGCAGCCAGCAACTCAGGAGAGTGCTGCAAATGCAAATGTGAAACATTCAGTTTAATAAAATGTGTTATTATGTTTGTGTGTATGATTTAGTTCTTACCATTCCCGATGAACTGCTGCTACATCTGCAGCTTGACATAGGCAATGAGTATTACATACTATTTCCTAACTTAATAACTTGATTTTTATCTAAAAATATTACACAAAGTATCCACTTAGATGTAAAATGCTCTACTGAGCTGTAAGTTAACATGTTTTAGTGATCAAATTTACACCATTGTTTGAAGGAATATGTGAACAAATAATCAGTGGGAAACTTTCAAAACTGTTACTATTTTGGTGAATTTAAGTCCTGAGAATTTAAGTGTTTTGTTAAGTGTCATCAACACTATGTTAATATCCATTTTATTCTTACACATTTGCTTCGTTAACAAAGTTAGCAAATCAAGGGAACACATGTTGAAACCACTCTTCAGAGTGTCATGGGTTATTGGAAGAATCATTAATATTACTGACAAGCAAAACCGTCAAGACAAAACAATGCACGCTTTTACTCAATAACAAAGAAGGGTTATGAGGAAAGAACACACTAGGAAAGTGCAACAGAATAATATGTTTGTAAGAAGGGTGTATTAAATATGCACAGAAAAAAATAAATGACTTCAAGCAATTTAAGGTGCCTAGTTCTGCTATGATCCAAATGGCTGTTTTCATCCTGTTGCTGACTTTACTTTATGAAAAAGAACGGTCCAGTTCTTAAAAAGAAAAAACAAAAACAAACAAAGTACTTCTCTTGGAAATCTTCTTTATTTCTGCCCCCAAATAAAACATGGGGATTTTCAATATGCAAAGTTAACAACCGCATGTAGCTCTTAAACTAAATCATAGTTTAAATTAAAACAAGACAATTGTTTCAGTCTTTGAGAAAACAAGGGTGTTTTTGAACCATTACACTTTGCTGTCTCAAATTAATATACTGAAAAGTGTATGTGCTACATAAATCAACTCAGATTGTTACATCAATGAAATAGATCATACTATTCTGTGTTCCAAAATATATATTGATCATTATTATTAACATTTTCAGATAAGCATGTACGTTTAGCCAAACAAAAACACATCTGAGTGGTTACAAATAAAAACCCTCTACAACTCAAGCTTTATTTAAAGAGAAGTAAAAAGGTGTGACCACATAACTCGTCAGCAGACAGAGTTCATATTTCCAAGAAAAAATGTATATAAGGATGATTGAGTTTTTCCTTGTAGTTTCTATATACATTTCCTTTAACACATGAAGCATAAAAATGGAGGGGGAAGGGTATAAATTTATTTAGAAAATACAAATTTGTAAGGGGACAAATGTATTGACTTTCATCCCTCAATTTTTATAGGCTTTTAACTTTTCCAATACTTAACCTCCAGCCTCAGTTTCAGATTATCATTTAATATGAGGTTGCTCACTTTTCTAATGCCATTGATGGGGTATTTTACCCCACCAAAATAAGATATTACATTAGTCTAAAAATATTAGTGATATGAATCATTGGTTTCTTCCAAGTTTATTTCAGCCCAATATTCCATAAAAAACCCACTGTCTCATTCCATAATTCCAGGTTTTATTCAGAAAAATGTCAAATGCATGTTTAGCTCTCCTTGAATCTTGTCAAGTTCAGATGACATACAAAGGCTGAGGATGCTACCTGATTTCATAGGTAAAGTTCCATTATGTTGAAGATAAAATGAAAGATATGTGATTAGTTTACTATATCACAATTTTCTTAATTGGCACAGAAAAAAGGAACTTAGCATCACTTGATATACAGCAAACATAGGAATACCAGTTTTCATTGATAATACTGTTAATGGATAAATTGTGATGTCTTATTAGATGGGGCACCTTTCTTATTATCCCTTAATAAATATGTGACAGTGATTCCTTTAGGCATGCCCACATGCTCAGTGTTTAGCTGATCGCCATATTTGGGGTCGGGAAGGAATTTTCCTCCAGGGTAGATTGGCAGAGGCCCTGGAGGTTTTTCGCCTTCCTCTGTAGCATGGGGCACAGATCACAGCTGGAGGATTCTCTGCATCTTGGGGTCTTCAAAGTATTTGAAGGCTTCAATATCTGAGATATAGCTGAGAGGATTATTCTAGGAGGGGGTGGGTGAGATTCTGTGGCCTGCACTGTGCAGGGGGTCAGACTAGATGATCATAATGGTCCCTTCTGACCTTAAAGTCTATGAGTCTATGAGGTAATCAAATATAAAGACGAAGTTTAGAAAAAAAAATAGAAAGATGGTGCATTTAATTGTTTTAATCTGATAAATGAAGTGGATTCTGACACTGAAATATCATACATACCTCTAATGATGTAAACTAATACATTAAAAATAATTACTATCTGTACAGATGCAAAAATATAAGATTTTTATCATACAATTAACTGCTATAGAAATCATTTAAAAATAAGCAGAAACCTTTTGAACAATTGAGGTATTAATCTTTCTGAATGTTCCTCCAAGGGTTTTAAATAAAATGTTTGATAGTGAACCTAAAACATTGCTACTTCCTCCACCCCTTCAACTTCTGAAAACATTAACTACTTATATAAATGATTAGTAACTATTGCTTAATCATGCATACTTTGTCTTTTTTCAGTAACATTCACACTCTTCGAGTCCGTATGGTAGTACAACTCATTTTACAATACAGTACTAAACATACAGATTTTAAAATGTTTTTACTTTTCCAGATACCAAAGCAGCAACTCAAGGAATGCTAAATATTTCAATTAGTTTTGAAGATTGAAAAGGTCCACAGAAACTTGCAAAAAGTACTTAAGTAATTAAATTTAGAATGTAAAACACTTACAAACACTAGTATATTATAATCACATAAAATAAAACTTAATGTAGCTTATAAATTTCAGTACTCTAAAGAAAAACTGATTTAGGAACACAGAGGCAGCAAGATTACAAATGAATAAACTAAAGTTCTTGATGATAGAAACTCTCATCATGGAGCTGCCTGCCATAATCTGTTGCTTCACTTGTAAGGAACAAATCCTGGTTCTCAAGAATCTCTGCCTCAGAAAGCTTTTTATCATCATTCAAATCCATTTCTTCTATCAGATGAAGAGCCTTTAAAATAAATGAAACACAATGTATTTTGTCCAGTCAGCAGAATATTTAACACTGTTTCGTTCAATTCTTGCCATTAGCATTAAAAGGACTCTTATAATACAAAAATATCTGTCACCTTTGAACCAAAAAACTACTCCTTTTATGTGTTTAAGGCACTATCATTTCCCCCCTCACTAGTTAAAACTGTATATTTAGAATACAAGTTTGTTTTTTGACATTTCTTCTCGTAATACTAAGTATCTTACCTTAGACCTGAGTCCATCCCGTGCTTTTCAGCATACTGGGCTACGCATATTCTCCATGACTGTCAAGTGACCTAAATCCTCCCATTTCAAAATTAATTTTTCTACTGTTGGTAATTGTAAGGTTCCAAATCATCCTAAAATCTACCACTCTTCCTTGCTGGATTTTCTGGCTTCTAACTGAGAGCCATAATTGGTAGCTGATTACGATCTATTTGTAACCCATGCCCTAGCCACCGATGTCTTCTTTTACAAATTTTTTGGCGATAGAGACCTTGCTTTAGCCATTTTTCTGACCTCATGTTCATTTTTCTTTCCTCACAGCTTACTCCTAATATTCTCCGCAAGCACTTATGATGAAATGCATCTAACTTCTGAGCATGTTTTAAGTTGACAGGTTTTACTGCAGTAGGTTGCTATAGCTACAATGGCTGAATAGATGCTTAGTTTTGTATGTAAGAATATGGTATTACATTTCCAAATGTTCCTGAGTTTATTGAAGGCTACGTTTGCTTTGCCAATCCTTATTTCCTTAAAGCTTATACCATCCTGGCTTAATCATGCTTCCAAGAGATCTGAATCAATCCACCCTTTCCAGCTCTTCATTTACGATAGATGCCAGAGTTTTTAGAGGAGCAGACAGAGGTAGTGACCACTATTTATTGAAGGCAAGCATGATTAGATTAAAGCTTGTAAAGCTGGAAAAGAAGGCTGACAGACCTGTAATTTGACATAAAAAAGCTGCAAGCTGAGTGTCTAGTGTGTCTCAATTCTACAAGAACTTACCAATAACAGGATTAAGCAGAAGAAAACATTAAAACATTTGCTCCACACGCAGCAAAAGATAATGAAGAATCTTACTGAAAGAACAAGGTTTTTGGTTTTATTCTCCTGGTCAATGTATGTTCCACATTCCCCTTTCTATCAGATCCAGAGAATGAGTCTGTTACATCTGCAGCCACAGTGCTCAACCCAGCCTACAGGCAACTTTATTTTGACCTTTGGAGGTCACCGGTGTGTTGATTAAGATGGCATAAGCAGGACCTCATCCAGGATTTGAGCTCATCTGATACTTGTACAGCCACTCTCCGAGTTACGAACAAGTTACGGACCAACACTTGGTTCGTAACTCGAACTGTTCGTAACTCAAACCCTATTGAGTTACACGCGACCGCACTGTTCGTAAGCGCGGATCACGTTCGTAACTCGGGGACCGCCTTTACGACCGCTCCATGGGAGCTTTGGTTGTAAGTGCGAACGGTCATAACTCGACCGTTCGCAACTCAGGGAGCGGCTGTAATGAACTTGCAGAGGAAGTAAATATATATAATCCACTGATCAGCATTTGTCAAATGTCCCCCTCTGTGCCTGATCCACACTGGATGCACAGTAGTTACTCTCAGCTACAAAAGGTCGAAGTGTGGATACTCCATTTTTCCTGCCTTGGATAGCACTAATTTGCTGGCTACACTTGCATACTTTCTGCTTTAATGATGACCTCGTTAACTTTCTTATCCAAGCCATTAAACAACTTAGTCAAATATGTCTTCAACATTTAAAAATGGCTAGTTCAAAATATCTGAAGTACGTAGCTGCAGCTGGATATTTTTATCTATTTACAATCAACTAAAAAAATCATCTAACCAGATTCAACAGACAGATTCAAAGACATAAACCACTTTCCAAAAAATTGGAAAATATTTTTACCTTCAGCCTTGGAAATGGGGAAATAATAGTTCACATAAAACTATATCTGTCTCAGGGATGTGTGTACACATGAGTTTCAACCTTGGATAATGTTACTTTTCCCGCACGCACAAGGCCAAAGCAAAATCTTGATTTTCAGAAGTATTTGAGGTAGACAGATTAAAGACAAACAACCATATGCTCAGCAGATAATTTGCAGACAGTTAATCTTAAACCTCACTCTTATATTATTCAAGTGAATAAGTAAAAAATAAGCAAGATAAAAATGTTGAAAAGGCATAGCCTTGCAATGAGATTTGAGAAGGTCTCACTTAAGACAATTAAGTTCTGCTTAAAAGCAAAACACATTAAGTTATGTATCTCAAAAACAAACATTTAACACCTAACACATTAGTCTCCACTCTTACATGTCCAGAGTGAAAGTATCTATTATTTTATTAGGTACTGTAGTGAAGGTGTTGACATATTAAACCACTTTCATGCTATGTGTGTTATACTACTTACTATACGCACAGCACTATCCTTGGTTTTATTGGTTTGTGTCCACCAAAGAAAACGTTATTTTGCAAATACATCATCATAAAGGATTTAAGAAAGAAAAATAATAAAAAGTCATTCAAAAAAATGAATGATACTCTGCAGGCATGAAAACTAGCACACTACCAAAGCAAAAGCTTGAGTTGTTAGTTTAAGGGGATGCATTGGATATGGGTAACTTAGAAGTCAAGCAACATACAAATCACTTGCAAGTATCAAAATGCTACTGCAGAACAACTTTCAAACTGCATTCAATGCCACATTCGATGTCACTTTCTCTTTAACGTAAAGGCTCTAGATCAGAGGTGGGCAATAACTTTTGATCAGGAGGTCACGTCAGAATTTTCTGAAGTGCCCCCAGGGCTGCCCTGGAAGGGGTGGGACCTTCAGGTGGAAAAGTGGGGCCAAGACAATTCCATCTTCCCCACCCACAGACCTTGATTGGTCTGTGGGTGGGGGAGCACATGAAGTCTTTGCTTCTGCACCCCCAAGAGAACCGCAGCTTTTTTGAACAGCTGGCAATTCTCTCTATGCGCCTGTGCCCCGGGCAGTGGGAGGAGTCTTCACGTGCTGTCCCCGCCCCAGACCAATCATGGCTTGGGGTCAAGGGGAGCATGTGAAGTCTCCTCCTGCCCTGCCCCCATCCTTCAAGGAGCGTGTGGCACTTCTAAACGCCACACACTATTTACAGGGCAGGAGCAGGGTGGGAGGAGACTTTGCACACCTTCCCCCACCCCCCCGAACCCCGATTGGCCTGGGGGCGGGAAGGAGCACAAAGTCTCTCACTCCCTGCCCTCTGGTGTGCAGCACATAGGAGTCAACCTTGGCAGTTGACTCTAAGTGCTGCGCGCTCCCCCATCCCTAGGCCCTGATTAGCTGTGAGCCAGGGGAGCTGCAGGACCTTTGCAGGCTGGATAAACCCGCTTGGGAGGTCGGATCTGGCCTGCGGAGGCTCTTTTGCCCACCCTTGCTCTCGATAAGCTCCCCTTGGTACTGGAAAAGAAGGTGTACCATGCTACAAAAAAAAAAAAAAAGCATACTGAAATCCTTGCTAGGATACAGTATGAAAACTGCTATTGCCTCCTACAAGATTAAGCTATCATCTTAAAAAAAAATCAAACAGATGAGCAAAGAATTACTGAAAAGTTGCAAGAGAATAATATGATACTTGAACAAAAAAGAGAGCATCCTGAAAAATCAGATTTGTGCAAGTTGCTACAAAAAAAAAAAAAAAGCATACTGAAATCCTTGCTAGGATACAGTATGAAAACTGCTATTGCCTCCTACAAGATTAAGCTATCATCTTAAAAAAAAATCAAACAGATGAGCAAAGAATTACTGAAAAGTTGCAAGAGAATAATATGATACTTGAACAAAAAAGAGAGCATCCTGAAAAATCAGATTTGTGCAAGT